TAGTCCGAATTAGCTCGTGTTTGGAGATCATGTCAGAGGTTGAGCTTGCTGAGAGAGACGTTGTTGCAGGGCGACACCTTAAAAACAAAAACAAATCTTTTGGAGCATGTTAGAGCTTTTCGATCCAGATTGCACCGCACCTGTGAGTTTGCCAGTGAGAATCTGGAGGAGGCGAAAACTAAAATGAACGTTTGGTGCGATCGGAAGGCCTGAAACCACACCTTCGATGTGGGTGACCAGGTCCTGGTTTTGTTGCCCATTCTGGGGTCACCATTGCAGGCTCGCTTTTCAGGCCCTTTGGTAAAATTGGTAATCTGGATTACGTCGTCGCCACACCGGAGCGCAGGAGAAAAAACCTGGCTGTGTCATGTCAACATGTTGAAACCATACCTCACCTGCTACGATTGGGCGGTACTGACGTGCTGCCTGTGGTCACTACTGTCACCGTTGACTATAGTCTTCCACAAGAGTATGAGGAAAGTCTAATACACCCTGTGCCGGTTGGACGCTTGTGTAACTCAGATATTCTAGAAAAACGTAATGTATTTTTGTCTCCGGAGTAAAAATTGGGACATTCTTTTAGAATAAAGGGTTTATTCTCAATGTGCCAACCCAGACAAATGTACTAGAGCATGACATTGACTTTGTGGACTCTGCCCCAATCAAACAAATTCCACTGAGGTTAAATGACAAGAGGAAGGTTACTAGGGATATTGCAGGAGTTTCCCCTTGAAATCAGACATGTCCGTGGTAAGGACAACTTGGCGGCTGATTGTCTCTCAAGGGTGGGCATTCAATAAGTTTTGTGTTTTGCGTTTTGCCAGTGTGTTGCCCTGGCTCACAATTTATTTTGACTGCACGTTTTGCCGTTTTGTCTTGATTGTGCCATATTCCAAGGGGACGAGAGTTATGGAAACATACTTTAGTCCACCCCCTGTTTCTTAAAACTTCTGAGTTTTAGGCAACTATATATACAAATGATAGAAAAGTATATATATTTACAAAAAAACTATGTGGCTGTTTTTTCTTGTATTTAATTGTTGACAGCCAGGAGACACCATGTTTAAATTGGAGAAGGCAACGCATTTAAGTAGCAACACATTTAAGTTGATTATGTTGTGCAATGGAAGTTGTTTTCTGCTGGTGGTGAGCAAACTTATCCAACAGAAATATAGGATATATTTGTTGTCTTAAGGGAAAGTATGTTTTGCAGTTGGAGTTTAGCACGTATACCACGTTAGTCAGTATGTGTTACATCTGGGCTGGTTTGTCATCTCGTTAGTGGGAAGGTGTTTCACCTGTGCTGTCCCAGGTGCTATTTAAAAGTGGCTGGCCCGTTGTTCAAGTTGCCTTGAGAAATGTGGAGGGTCAACACCTTTAGTTGGCTCTATCTATTTTGATTTCTAGACAAACATTCCTTTGTGTGATTTTGTTTTGCTCCACCTTTTGGTTTGCTTCCTGTCTTTAAGTTTTGTGTGGGTTTTTCTTTTGTTTGCCTCTTCTTAGGCAAATTTAGTGGACACTCATGGTGGGTGTATTTTAGGTTCCAGTTGTTGCTAGTCAACTTTCAGTGGACACCCCCATGAGTAGAACCCCTCCTATAACCCCACCTCGTTCGTTTTGTTGTTGTCAGTGACTCTTTGTTAGTTCCCCCTTCTGTTTGAGCGACATTACTTAGTTTTCTAGCTGGGGAATGGAACATTTGGTAAAGTAATAAAGGTGAAATATTTTGGGTGTATGTTCCTAAAACAAATTATAACCAACACCAACCACGTTACTGCTAAGAGCTGCTTTTGGTGGGTCTTGAATATCCCCACTCACGCTGCCTGAAATTGTTTTTAAGGAACACACCTCAGATATTGCCACACCCTCCCACCGCAGCGCAAGCAAGCTGATGTTAGACAGGTAAAAATATAAACTTCCTAAAATAGCTCACACTTCAATTAAAGTTTATTGCGGTAATATGACTTGAATAGTTCTGTGACTTATTTTGGAACAGAACTGTTTTCATCAATTTGTATAGTTGTTCTCATTCCATGCATGGCTTACTTCACATGCCTTTCCATAGAGCTTGTGTTAACATTTGAAGACACATACTCTCGAGGTAAGGAAACAATTAAGATTGGACAAAAATTTTGGAAAATCTTCCCTTTAATCCCTCAGCTCAGCGAGGGGTGGGCATATGAAATTATTGAATTATTATTAAATAAAAGTTTCACCTGTCCTACACACGAAAAACAAATGTTTCTATATAGTGCCCCCAATTCTTCTATAAAGAACCATGCTCATATGGTTCTAAATGGAACCTTTATGGTGCTATAAAGAACCCTTTCCTAAGGTTCTATAAAGAACCATTAAAAAAAGGTTCTATATAGAACCTAAAAAGGGTTCCACTATGGTTACAACCCTTTTTGGTGCTATGTAGAACCCTTTTTAATGTTTTTTTTTATAGAACCTTCATGGAGAACGATTCTATAAAGAACATTGTGCAATCTCAAAGGTTCTACAAAGAACCTTTTAAAGAACCAAATACATGGTTCCTTTTTTTGGATAGCCATATTATATTGTTAAAATTCCATAGGTTTTATTATTGTATTTATTGACAAGATGAATAATGTGTGCTAGCTCTGGAATGGCTGGGGGTCCCTAAGAAGAGAAATGAGAACCACTGATTTACACAACAGTTCTCAAATGACACAAAGCCATATGCAACTCTTTGACAAGATGCCACAGTCATACACTGAGTGTACAAAACATTAGGAACACCTTCCTAATGTTGATTTGCACCCCCTTTTGCCCTCAGAACAGCCTCAGTTCATCGCGGCATGGACTCTACAAGGTGTCCAAAGCGTTCCACAGGGATGCTGGCCCATGTTGACTCCAATGCTTCCCACAGTTGTGTCAAGTTGGCTGGATGTCCTTTGGGTGGTGGACCTTCCTTGATACACACGGAAAACTGTTTAGCATGAAAAACCCAGCAGCGTTGCAGTTCTTGACACACTCAAACTGGTGTGCCTGGCACCTACTACCATAACCCATTCAAAGGCACTTAAATCTTTTGTCTTGCCCATTCACCCTCTGAATGGCACACGTACACAATTCCTGTCTCAATTGCCTCAAGGCTTGAAAATCCTTCTTTAACTGGTCTCCTCCCCTTCATCTACACTGATTGAAGTGGATTTAACAAGTGACATCAATAAGAAATGATAGCTTTCACATGGATTCACGTGATGTTCCTAATTTTTTTGTACACTCAGTGTATATAACATGTAATCTTATTCTTTGTCTGGCTTTCCAGCAGACTAGACGCTTTGTTGCGTATTGCTGCCTTTCACAGTTTGGAAAGTGCATTGCACATTTATTCACAGTAAAGGAAAAAGGGAAATTGGGAAAAAAGGAAATTGCACTGCCATCTAATGCTATATACTGTCTATACCACTATCCCCAGCTCAACCCCTTCCCACTACTCTGGCCCCAGCAGATCCTAGGAGGCTGGAACCCTTCATCTCAAAACCCCCTGTAGTTATTTTACACTAAAATCTCTGATACACCAAAACGTCTCTTCTCTTCTCCGCTGCTACTACCAATTCAATCTTCTGGGATTTCCTCTGCATCTGTGTGGTACAATTAATGACCATAAATGCCAAGAAGCCAACCTTACTAAAGCACAAACTGTTTGGGTCACTCTGTACTGGCCTACTACTCACAGGGATCCTCCCTCACCCTTTGCCCACCATCACTGCTTCAGCACATGACACTTTCTGCACTGCTCTCACCCTGGAAACTTCAATCTGTCTCACTCACACAGGACATTTCTGATCCCCAGCAACATGGCCACCCCCCACAATGGCCACCCCCCACAATTGAAACACTTTTCCCACCGAAATTACACACTCCTTTGTCCTCCTGCACACTTCTCACACCTCAGAATCTCCCTCCAACATACTGCTGCAACTTGACCCTAAACGTGGCACCTGAAACACCATATTAGGTTCGGAACAAAAGCTCTCACGGGACAACATATATATCCTAGCATGACTTCATATATATCGGCACACAATCTGCATCAAAACTCCGAAGGACAGATAGGGTCTCCTCAGTCTTGCGCTCGCCTCCGGGTCTGCGTCGCACCAAATGGCGTCCATCACAGACACCACGGGTCCCCAACTTCAATAGATACACCTTTAATACTCAACCCCACCCCAGTAATCACTACTTTCAGCGGCACTCTGCTCCGGGGAACAAAGCAGGACAGTGCTTTGGTCCAGAGTCTTGAAACGCACAGGGCCCTCTCCCTTTGAGCAGCAGACACACAAAAAAATCCATCTCTGCATACTCCGAATTGACAGAACACAACTCCTTCTTCACCCAGCCTGATACCACAAATGGATCGGCCAAAAGGCATGGATCCATTTTCTCCACGAATCGTACTCACTTTTGTCAGGATCAATTTCAAGTTCACTATCAGTCGATTGCTCAGGGTTTTCAGGCGCGTAACATGCATTTTTCTCTCCTGTACTTGACTAGTATTTCGCAGTCGGTTTGCACCTCGCACCCTTCTTTCTGACTCGCCCGAGCCTCCGACAAGAATTCCATCTCTGTGTGGGACTTCAGGAAACTCAGTATCGAGCCGCCCAATGCTGACATGCTCCCAAAATGACAAGACCGGCCTGAGTGCCAGGTTGCCTCTTCGTGTGGTTTTCTGGCCTTAGCTCACATGTATAACATGTAATTGCATAACACAACAGATTAGATAAACTGGAATGACACTCTCACAGATTCACAAAAAGATCTGTCAGCAAAACACGCCCCAAAATATTCTAATGAGCCACCGCCCCTACATTTGAATTGTCATTAAAAGAGGAAAGAACCCTTTTCTGAACTGCAAAGAACCATTGAAGGACTCAAAGGGTTATTTGGGTCAGTATGGTTCCACATAGAACCATCACCCTTCCCAAAGATCACCCTTCCCAAAGCTAAACATGAGTTTCTGACACTAGTCTCCAATACTCTGGCAGACATGACTGTGGTGGGTCCCTCATCAACAAGGTGTGGGTGATGTCGGCAGCCCACTGCTTCTCCAGGTGAGTTAGCGTGAGATACAGGAGACATAAAAGGTTGTACAGGAGAAATAATTATGTCAATTATTTGTGATGCAGCTGAGTGCAACTCCTCTTACTTGAAATATGTAACTGTCCATTAATTCCATGTTGATCTTATATTTCGTCACTTTGATCCGTCTTTAATTTTATTACATTTTCCATTCCAACAAAGCTCAAACCCAAACGGTTGGAACATTAGCCTTGGCCGACTGTCACGATCGTCGTATAAAGAGGAGGACCAAGGCGCAGCGTGGAAGGTGAACATATTTTATTAATTAGAATGATAACACGAACAAAAACAACAAACGATAACGTGATGTCCAAAGGTGCAAAACACAAACCTCTACAGGAACAAGATCCCACAACCACTGTGGGAAAACTGGCTGACTAAGTATGGTTCCCAATCAGAGGCAACAAGCAACAGCTGATTCACGTTGCCTCTGATTGAGAACCACACTGGCCAACATAGAAACACAATACTAGAATGAACACAAATGAAAACTCACACCCTGGCTCAACATACTAGAGTCCCCCGAGCCAGGGCGTGACACCGACAGACCCTGGAGGGCATTAACCCCAATGAAGTGTCCAGAACTGTGGCTGAGATCGTTACACATCCAGCTTACAACAGTGGCACAAATGACAACGACATCGCTCTGCTCAGACTCTCCTCACCAGTCAACTTCACAAGCTACATCCGACCCGTCTGTCTGGCAGCAAGTGATAGTGTTTTCCACAATGGTACTGATAGCTGGGTGACCGGCTGGGGTAACACCAATGAAGGAGGTGAGGACACATTCATGATCCATTGTAGGAGATGTTGATGAGATTATTGTTTTATGTGAAACAGTATCCCCAGTGGCCACAATGCAGGTGCACACTGAAAAACCTTTTCTTATTGCGATGGAAATGGACAATCTGATGAAAACAGTCGTAAAGTTATCTCCCATTTGTGATCTCCCATCACTGGTCTTCCTTTGTTTCCTTCAGTTCCCCTCCCATCCACCCAGGCTCTGTAAGAAGTGAAGGTTCCAGTTGTGGGGAACCGAGAGTGTAACTGCCTCATTGGGGTCGGCTCAATCACAGACGACATGCTCTGTGCTGGTGTTCTGGTAGGGGGGCAAGGACTCATGTCAGGTAAAGTTCTAACCCATCTTGTTGTACTACAGGGCCCAGTTTTAAAAAAGTTATATGATCGGATTTTGGCAATCTGATAGCATTAAAAGCATAGAAATAGAATGACTACAATGGGCGTCCTTCTTCAAGTCAATGATACGCCTGTTCCATTCATTCTATGTCCTCCTTCAAGTCAATGATACGCCTGTTCCATTCATTCTATTTCTATGCTTTTAATGCTATCAGGTTGCCAAAATCTGATCAGATAACTTTTGAAAAACCTGGTCCCTGTTCCAATCCATTTCCTAGAGCGTGCCTTCTTTTAATTGCTTTGAGAGACTTACCTTACTCTATCTTCTCAGGGTGACTCAGGAGGTCCAATGGTGATTCAACAGAACTCCGTCTGGGTCCAGTCTGGGATTGTTACTTGGGGTAATGGCTGCGCTCAGCCCAATCTCCCTGGGGTCTACACCAAAGTGTCTCTTTACCAGTCCTGGATCGACTCCAAGATCCGCACCGACAAGCCAGGCTTTGTCCACTTTACCTCAAGTGGAGTAGATGATGACAGCAATTACAGCTGTTCTGATGGTCCTTCAACAACTACTGTCGACTCCTCCCCTTACCCCTCCCCTTACCCCTCCCCTTACCCCTCCCCCTACTACTATCCTTACCCATATGGTTCCATCTTTGATAATGGACAGAGTTTGTTCAGCTCCCTTTATATGCTGAGCACCTTGTTGATTCTGGTGTTTCTTACCATTTACAGAAATTATTCTTACCTTGTTCCAATCGAGGGCAAGGTTTTATTGGCAGCCTGAGTGCATGTGCTGTTCGTTCGGGAGATTTCTCTTTTAAAGTAATGGCTGGCGTGCTCTGGAAGAACTATCTGCTATTGTATGTTCAGTTTCCCCAGATCCAATCCCCCTTTTTCCTGGGTGAGTTGTTTTCAATGGGCCTTACTATTGTGTTGATTTCTTTATGAAGATGGATAACCTCAAATATATATTTACTTATTTATTTAAGGGGCAATATGGGATTCAAACAAACGGTGACCCTGACACTTTTTGGTAAACAGCTCAGGGATAGGGCTGGAGAAATGTATCTCTGTCCGAACGTCAGTGAATGCGGTAGGCGAAGTCAAACGCAGGACACAGAGCTCACTGGAAATGTACTTTACTCGAAAGTAACCAGAGCATAAACAACCTCCACACAGGGAGAAAAACAACCCGCACACTAACTACTGCCGATGACGAATACAATCACACACAACACACAATGAAAGACAGAGGGTTATATAGGGAAGACAATACAACATAATGGGAAACAGGTGTACACAATAAAGACCAAACAAGTCAAACACAGAAACATAGATCGGTAGCAGCTAGTACTCCGGGGACGACGAACGCCGAAGCCTGCCCGAGCAAGGAGGAGGGGCAGCCTCGGCTGAATCCGTGACAATCTCTTAAATTCATAGACAGAGCTTTGGGTGCAATGATAGCCTGATAGCTTTAACCATGTTTCTTTACAATGTTTCTTTAAAATTACATTGTTTACAAACAATATAGTAAAACAAGCTTATATTTTGGCTTGTGGTGAAGCAGGACAGTTTCACTAAGCTCATGAGAGATTTTAAGTTATATTCTTCGAGAATGAATTACTATATATCATTAAAGATGCACTTTAGTCTCCTTTTCACCTAATCTATCACCTGATTTATTTAACAAAAGGCACATCTCAATAGGTGGTTCAGGTAAGTCATGACATGGCACAAGTGGGCGGGGTGGTTCAGGTAAGTCATGACATGACGTCAGCGTAAACCCATCAGAACAACTCTTGACATTTGCGTCTAAAAAACACTATTTTGCTCAAAACATATTTTTTGTACCCTTAATTAATTGGGATAGATATTGTTTCAACAAGAAAAGTTTTTTTTTAAGCTGGAGTGTGTCTTTCATTTAAAAGTCTAAAAATGGGTGTACCATTCCCAGATTGCCCTTTTAAAATTTGAGAAATGACAAATCCTTTAGCTATGAACACTGTATAAGAATGCAAAAATCAAATGTCTTTATGGAGCGGCCTGCAGTGGTCTAGTGGTTAGTGCCACAGCCCCCAGTGCACACATCACTGTCGTCTCATCAACTAAAACTGACTCCCCCCCCCCCCTAGTAGCACTGACTTTGCTGATAGCAAATTACTATGACTGAGATATACGGTTGTCCCACCTAGCTATCTTAAGATGAATGCACTAACTGGAAATTGCTCTGGATATGAGCGTCTGCTAAATGACTAAAATGTAAAATGTCTCCTGTCTTTCCTGTCTCCTCTTCCATCTTTCCTATCAATAAAAAGCATGGGTAACACTATACTTTAAATACACATATTAACCATTCGTAAAGAAGGCACTACGTTGTGAAACATTGGTTGAGGTTTACCCATTAAATTGTTGCGAACACATATAGAGAGTGTGCGACTTTATTTATTTAATACAAGGTTCACATATTAACCACTACTAAGTAGTTTATAAGTGTATATAAGTGGTTAACCTCTACGGGATCGGTGTCCCGTATATGGGATGGTTGAGCTAATGTGCGCTAATGTGATTAGCATGACTGTTGTGAGTAACAGCAAACCTTCCAGGACATAGACATGTCTTAGATGGGCAGAAAGCTTAAATTCTTGTTCATCTAACTGCACTGTCCAATTTACAGTAGCTATTACAGTGTAAAAATACCATGCTATTGTTTGAGGAGAGTGCACAACAACAACAACAACAACGTATCACGGCAACTGGTTTGATACATTCACCTCTGAAGGTAAATAATGTACTTACATTCAGTAATCTTGCTCTGATTTGTCATCCTAAGGGTCCCAGAGATAAAATGTAGCATAGTTTTGTTTGATAAAATCCATTTTTATATTCAAATGTAGGAGCTGTGTTCTACAGTTTGAGCCCTTGCTGTCTCTGGCTCCACACCCACCCCGCCCGGCCATCTAGATGTGTGAAAGTTAGTGGATAAGCTAATGATCCATCATTTATGACATTCCTGGGAGTGTGTAAACTTACATTTTGTATTACCATATCATTTTTCGATGTTCTCTATAGTTATGTACTTGAAAATGTATCAATTGACCAATTCGGCACAGTTGGGCAGACTTGATACAAAATAGTCCAGTATTGCAACGCTTCACTGGATCTATCTGAAACTTTGCACACACACTGCTGCCATCTAGTGGCCACAATCTAAATTGTGCCTAAACTGCAATATTATATTGTGGCCTTTCTCTAGCATTTCAAAGATAATGGAAAAAAAATAATAGAAAACGCATGTTTTTTTGTTTGTATTATCTTTTACCAGATCTAATGTGTTATATTCTCCTACATTAATTTCACATTTCCACTAACTTCAAAGTGTTTCCTTTCAATGATATCAATAATATGCATATCTTTGCTTCAGGTCCTGAGCTACTGGCAGTTAGATTTGGGTATGTCATTTTAGGCGAAAATTGAAAAAAATGGTCCGATCCTTAAGAGGTTAATAAGGCATTTATTATTCCGTATAAGCCATATATTAGCCCTTAATTAAGGGTTTTATTATTAATAACTCATGTGTTACTGGGCCTTTATAACAACTTTCTAATTAGTTGTATTATTATGGGCAGTAAATCAATATTATCCAGAGAAATACTCCCATATTTTCTATGGGATCATAGCAATTGGTTTCTCTGGGAAATTCAATGTTTTGCTGATAAATTTACCACCTCACGTTTGTTGCCTATATTTTAGGACTTAGTAGTGCTTTTTTGACTCCTTTTGAACTATGCTTTCCTTGAAAGGATTTGAGAATGAGTAAGAATTTGGGGAAACAGGGCAGCTACAAGGCTGTGAGAATGAGATATGCAGTTGATGATATGGGAGAGAGTGGACACCTTCTACCACCAGTTTTGCAGAGCCATACAGTTTGTTCATTGAGGTTACTACACAGCAAATTCTTCAGTGATACATTTAACACTGAGAGTGTTAAATTAACACTGAAAGTGTGGACCCGTATAGACACTGAACAGTGTTCAATTAACACACTGCTTGGTGTAAAGCCTTATTTCCCAGAGTGCCTTGTCTTTCGAGTGAATTGTAGAGATTCCACCCATGACTGTATTTGGTGGTGACAGAGACATGCTTGTTGCATTTGTAACAGCTGTCCAGCAAGACTGTTGGAGGAGGGGATTAAAGGAAGATGGCTTCCAAGATGGCAGATAGGAAAAATAGGAGGAAAGTGGAACATAGTATAAGTAAATATGGAGTGGGGGATTGCACAAGCCTTCTGGAAGATCTGATGAAGGAGAAGATGGTGAACAAGAGGGAATATGGAATGGAGGAATTCACATAACTTTTGGAAGAGCTACAGAAGGAAATTGAACGTGACGAGAGTGAGGATGAATTAACAGGTGCAGTGATGACCGGCGAGAAGGAGCTGAGTGTAGAGGGAAGCTGTGCGGTGAGGAAGGGTTGGCATCAAGTGCAAAAAGAGGGCTACGTCCTCCAGTGGTTCAGAGATGGAACCTGACGAGAGTGTGGATAAAGTACCTACGGTGAGGACGGCCGAGTTCGTGCCTCGTCCCGATCATGAAAAGGATGATTCTGGCCCAGTGGGAGTGAGATTTGTAGAGAGAATGGATCCTTGTATTCTGGCTGATCCATATGTTGTATCAGATTGGGTGGAGAAGAGATTGGGGACTGTTGAATCGGTGAAAGTAACTCGAAGTGGACTCTGTCAAGTTAGTTTTTGATCATTGCTAGATAGCCATTTTCAAGTCTTGCCATAGATTTTCAAGCCGATTTAAGTAAAAATTGGCCTTGCAGAGATGTAAACAAATTTGTTTACAAAATTTGAGAGAAATAAGCTTTTTGTGTGTATGGGACATTTCTGGGATCTTTTATTTCAGCTCATGAAGCATGGGACCAACACTTCACATGTTGCGTTTATATTTTTGTTCACTGTACAATTTTGTTTATCCATCCTCAGTTTTCTCCTATCACAACCATTTAACTCTGTAACTGGTTTAAAATTGGCTTCATGGTGAAATCCCTGAGCAGTTTCCTTCCTCTCTGTCACGGTTTACTAAGCCAGAACCCAGAAGCAGACCAGGACAAGGTGAGTTGAAACGAAGGTGAGTATTTATTTAACAGATTCAAAAAAACGATGTAGAATAATCCAGGGGACAGAGCGGACGGCGGAGATGAGTTGGTGGAGGTGCAGTGGTAGATCCAAGAATGGCTCGGCAGCCGCCGACAACCAGGCAGGGGTTGGGTGAAGGTTCCGGGAGATTGATGTTCATGGCTAACGATCCGGCAGGGAATGGATGTCAGGTCAGGGCTTAAGAAGGGTGATGATCAGGACCAGGTGTGCAGACCGCTGATGAGATGCAGGTGCGGTTAATCGGGAGATCTCCCGCCTAGCAACGTCGCCCGGCAACCAGGCCGGCAGCGTTCACGAACCCTCAGGAAACTGGAGATTCCGAGCAGAAAAATGGCAACACAGGCAGGAACCGACTCAGGATGCAGGGTTCATGACACTCTCTGTCAACTGAGTTAGGAAGGATGCCTGCATCTTTGTAGTGACTGGGTGTATTGATACACCATCCAAAGTGTAATTAATAACTTCACCATGCTCAAAGGGATATTCAGTGTCTGCTTTGTTTTTTTTTACCAATCTACAAATAGGGGCCCTTCTTTGCGAAGCATTGGAAAACCTCCCTGGTCTTTGTCGTTGAATCTGTGTTTGAAATTCACTGCTCGACTGAGGGACATATGTAGGGT